CAATTTTGACCAGGTTAAATTTGGGTGGATTTCCTAGTAAAGTCATTGAACACCAACATATTTGAAAATCACTGAATAGATATGTGAGAGATACATTCTGCAGATAAACCCATTGTGCCCATTTTTGAAAAAAATCAAGCACTTGAGATCATTCTGGATGGTGGTGAGCTGAAACAATTCAGATTATTACAACTCTGAAAATTACTTCCCTACACAAAAAGCTCCAACAGAGTTCAATAAACCTTTTACATCAGGACCTGCAGTAACATTTAGCTTCTCTCTTTATGCAGGGGTCAAAAAACATACACTTTTTGAATTCAGACATTTTAATTCATCACTGAGACTGTGTTTGCTTTAGCGATGTAGTTTTAGTCCTAGAACTTTTGTGTTTTGGGTATTTTTGGTGGGTCACAGCATACATAGCACTGCCTAGATAATAGGCATCTTGCCCCTTACTAGCAGCTAAAAAGGAAAAATAAAGAGCACATTGGCTCAGCACAGACAGCAGGTGGGATGGTTCCAGGCTGAGGGACAATTCTACCTTGTGCATGCAGGAGAGAAGAAAAATTTGAGTGTTCTGTCCTGTGTTTGCTCTCAGGCCCTTCTGACCTGCAGAATACCACATCCACCCAGCTCTCCAGAGACACCAAGTAGCTGGCATCTTACTCCCACCGCTGACGCGGGCAGAGCAACCTAACTTTACACGGGAACAATGAGTTCCAATGACAGGCTTAATGCAGCTATTTCAGACAGATGAAAATTGAGGCTTAAGCAATTGTGCCAATATTCTCTTTAAATTATTCTGCAGAAAGAAATGTTCAAAAATTGTGACTCATTAAACGGTTTCAATAACATCATTAACAGAGGTAAAATTTGATGAGGCAAAATTAATAGCTTTGGCGTGCCGTAAGGAACGGTGGAAACTATAAGAGGTGATGGAAGTGGTGTTATTAATGCTAATAACAACCTCGCCATTAGTTAGTTTCCTGTCTTGTGCAATTTTAAACATCGATGTGCCTTTAAATGTCAACCTGAACGCACTGCGAGAAAAAGAATTCAGAGCGTATTGTATTAACTCCTGTAAACATATCTTGCAAATGGGGAAAAATGACAGAAATGTTCAATTCCTGGTTTATATTGTTATTTCTTATTTTCTTCGATTTTTTTTCCTCATGCAGATCTTTCTTTGATGTCAAAATGATTCATGAATTGACAGTCTTTTCAGTGAGAGACTCTGGAAGCTCAATATCAAAAGGATTAGGTACATATGGCTTGGGTTTCAAAACTCAAATACAATGAGTTGGATTGTGTCATTGTAATTCCAGTGAAAACTCTGCTGCATAACAAAAGCCACTTTATAATAGAGTACACACCGTTCTGCCTTCCAGAAACTTTCCAGCTGAGAGCTCAGAAGAATCTGTGGTCATAAAATTGGGCTGAGAGATATTAGCATACCCTCCTGAGGCCTGGCAGTGGAAAAGCTGTGATGTAAGTAAAGATCCTCAAGAATAATCAAGCTGAAAAGCCACATACTCATCCCTATCATATCCACTCAAGGGAGTACTGTAGTTCTTTACATATGTGAGCTCTAAATATTACCGAAGTGCTACTTACATAAAGATAATCCCGTCTAGAGATATTAAATAAGGCCTGAGGAATACACTATAAATCAACACGTGAAACAGTGCTGGAGTGAAGCACCAAAGGAAAAAATGTCACCTTTCCTAATATTCACGGCTTGCAGCGTAAGATTTTTTTCTTTAGGTCTTCAAGGGATAAGGTTTTAGGGAAAAAAAAGGAAAAAGGGATGCATTCTCAGAAGAAGTTGAGATCAGTAATAAGATTGTTACCTCGTTATTCTCTAGATCGATCACCTCTAGCAGATCATGTTCTTCCAAGCCTTCTAGACTGGTTATTTTATTGTTAGAAAGGTCCAGATTCCGTAGTGTTTTCAAGCTGTCCAACCCAGTTATCTTCTCAAGCAGGTAGAGGCTCTAAGAATAAAGGGAAGAATGTGGATTCTGATAAAGTTCTACAGATTGGAAACAACATTTCTGAGGAAGAAATGAGTTTGTTTATTATGGAGAATCCTATTACAAGCAGGTCTTACGTGCATTAGCCCCATCTTCATCTTGAGATGACATACTACAGCTTTCCATTCTGCTCAAGGAAAAAGGAATCAACTATCTTTGGACTAACTTACCTTCAACTTACCTTGAATAACAATAGCAAGAGACAACATCAATAAAAGAGCTTGAGCATTCATTTAAAGCTGACACTGGCTAAAGGATACTCTTGCCAATATCAAACTCAAAATTTAGGAAATAGATATGCACATAAAAATATAGAATACATATACATACATGCATACAATTTCCCTCTGTAATGATGGTTATATTTACACTTATGATTACAGAATAAATAATGAAAATATGAAGGTAGAACAATACAATAGTCTTCTTTGGATTGCAGGCACTCTATAAAATACCTCTAGGATACACAAGTTCATTAATATATAATAAATGAATGCAGCCTATTTACTTTTGGTGATGGCATGCACAGAAATATTCCAGAAAAACACCATCTCTACTGTAAGTTCATCTAGACTCTAACAAGAGAAATGACCAAGCCTTTGAGAATTCATAACTGACTATTATTGTTTTACATTCCTTCCAAACAAGGTACAAGATAGAAGGCCTACATTAATCACTGGACACCAGATGGCTTCATTTCTCAGGGCCTCACAAATCATTTACTTGTTCCTGCTATGAACTCCAAATAGTTATAGCATGCTAGGTTCTGTACTCATCTTTGTCTCATTGGCCACATGTACCCAGATGGCCTCTCAACATGATTCTCTCCGAATAACCTTGCAAGTTTTATATTTTTCCATCAGCATCACCTTGTGCTGAAAGCTTCAAAGCCTCATATTCTATTAATAAATATTTAGGAACTATTGAAATAAATAAGCCAGCTGACTCTAATGTTAATCCAGTTGTCTGTCCTTGACATTTTTCCTGACTTTTAAATGTTTAATTAGGTTATTAATAGCATGGAAGCTCTCTCTTCCCTTCCTGTACTTCGTTAGACCTCTTTAATAAGATACAGCTCAGAGCTCTAGTTGCAAAATGCTATGCAAGAGGTACACAAAATTTTGTGAACAAAAGGGATTTGTGCGGAGATCCTGTTTTGCTAAGCATAAAATTCCTAAGAGTCCAGTTCATTAAAGCTGCACTTGTTATTTTTGCAAACACAAGCAGAATAGAGGCTTTTGGTATAGCTAGGCAGTATTTACAGTTTCTGAAGTCTTTCTTCCAAACTTCAGACCTTTACTACTCTTTCAACCTAGAAACCTCAAGGGAAAATAGAAAGGAAAGCTGAATCAATGGGAGGAGAGGGGGATGACTGCTCCCATGAAAAAGAGGAACTGCATCTTATTCTAATTAGTAAAAGAAAACGCTATGCTAAAATCTGTCTATTTACATAATTTCCACATGACTATCTACTTTGCTAATTAAAAAGACAAGCAGTTGGATAAATAATCATATCAGCATGTAAGAACCAAAAATGAAGAACATGTTCATATTAATAAGCCTTAGCTGTTAACACGATCTCCAAAGCATTTTACAAGCAGATAACCATTACTAACAGAATATTATTAGGCCTTTTAACAGATGAGGAAATCAAGGAGCACAATGGTTAAGTGGGTCCTTTAGTTCTACTGAAGGAAGCATTTAGAGAAAAGATCTTCCCGGCAGCTTAGATTCTTATACTCTTCATTTCAGAACTTTCAGACAAGATTTTGCCAATCTGAGTTAATCTTATCCACCAAAAATAAAATAAAAAATCAAATCAGTTTTATTCCCACTGAAGTCATTAGGAAGCTGAAATATAAAAGTATTAAAAATATGCTGCTGAACACTTTTGGAATGTATTATTTAAAACATACTACTACCCACTTTTAAATGTGAATAGCTTTACAGAATATCGAAGTGGTGAGAGCTACAAGGGACAATCAGGCATTGACGGGCACAGCCCTTACTTATGCCCTTCTACACCAATACTACAGCACAGAAAAAAAATCTTTAAAATTTTAAAGGACTGAAAAGAACATTTCTATTCTTGAATAAGAGATTCATTCACTTTACCTAAAATATTTATGTAGGTGCTTAACACTAATGTAGCAAATATGAACGTATTTTCTATGTATAGCTTTTTCACCCTCAGCTTCAAACTCCACTTAAATATTTTTAAATTACTGTTATAAGTAAAACCTATTGAAATGGAGACTTGTATTTTTATGGCAACTCAACAGCATTAAAAATAGTTCTTGCCTGTAGTACTCTGCAACCTCTATACTGATAGCCCTTCCTATAAAGTCACTTGAAATGATTTAGAAGAAAGGGTTGGTATTATTAGGGATGTTTTACTAACATGGAACTGAGGAACACTGATAAATGCCTTCCCAAGGCCTGTAAAGGAGCAAGATGCACACAAACAAGCGTAGGCATTGATAAATAGAGGTCTGTACCGGGCTAGTTATCCTCAGCAATCTTCATAACTGAGAGAAACAGCCACTTCCAAGGCCTGATGCATCTTGTGTTAATGTGATGTCAGCAGTTGGATCGGAATAGTGGAGTACCCTAAGTGTCCACTTCTCTCCACTGACTTATGAGGTGGCAGAGAATGAGCTCAAATGCCATGGTCTACACTAAAAAAAATCTGAAGCCAGATGAGGTAACTGCCACTAAAAATCTAGAAATACACCTTAGAAATGTTGTACGTCAACAGATGCACCCTAGATATCAGATGACCCTCAGTGCTCCATCCTAACCCATAACATCCCTTAATTCTGTATTAACAAAAAAATAAAAGTGTGTCCCACATTACACGTCTTTCAAAATTTGTTATGTAATTACCTTCAAGTTTATTAAGGCATAAATATATTGATAGAAGACTGACAGGAAAACAACAAGAAATATTTTCTTACCAGATTGAGGATTTTGAGAGGTAAATTCTCCAGGCCACCGATTGCAGTGAGTCTGTTATGTGACAAACTAAGATGAGTCAGGCTATGACACTTCTCCAGTCCTTTTATCTCCGCTATGTTGTTAACTATACAGGGGGTTTGGGATTCAAGGAAAAGAACTGGATGCAAAAATCTTCACGAGTTAGCAGCTGGTTAGACAGTGGGGCTGAAGTTCACGGTATGGGGAGCTCAACATCGAATGCTTCATGCTAAAGTGTTTCAGATCCCAGCTGCTCACACCTGGCCCTACTCTGAAGCACGCTGCCTCCTTGCCTGCATGACACAGCTTCCCGTGGGGCTGCAGGGTAAGTGACTTCACTGATCCAGCCAGAAATATCCCCCCCTCCTTTTTGGTGGGTCTTTCAGCTCATTTTCTGTGACCTGGTTTGTAGCACAGCCTGGCATAACGGGGGGAAGGAACTTCTGTCAGCATCTTGTGAAGCCACACTGCAAATCACCGGTCTTCTTATCAGATGCTCATGTGCAGGTAAGACAAAAGGGCCTTACACCTTTGACCCTTCAACTGGGCACCGGTCCTTGCAAGCCAGCTGTAGAATACAGGCAGATGGGTGAGCCATCAGAGGAGGGTTTGGCTTTTTTAAGTTTGCAGAGTACTTAACTCAGTATGGCTCCAAACTCACCTTGACATCCAACCATCATACACCAAATTATCCAAGTAATAATGGACGCTTGTACTTGGTCGGGCTATTTCATGCTAAGTTACACTGGTGCTACACTGGCTGCCTGTACTGAAAGGGGAAATGTGTTTAAATTAACAATAGAATCAAAAGAGGGTTCCTCTCAAAGTCACCTTTAACACGGTCAGCTTTAATTTTTCAGATTCCTTAAAAAACCAAAACACACAAAAACAAAAACAAAGCAAAAAACAGAAACAAAAAAACATATTTCCTTTGACAACAATCTCGGATTGCTCTTAGAACAGGATGAACTGCAGAGGCAGCTGTACATCCTTCTCCGCTGAACTCAGACAACTCAAATCAGGCACTTAATTATTTGGTGACTGAAGTTAGGCAAAAGAACTGTACTCCTATTGTAAAAGTCCAAAACTGAACTAGTTATATAAAAACAACAAGAAATATAACTGAGAAAAATAGCCAGAGCATGCAGGGGACAGAGAAATGCCTTCAGGCGATCACAGAAGAAAACATTTTTAATTGACTTGAGATAATGAACTCTGCCTGCAAAACGAACGAGTTCTCATTCACTTTTCTTATCAGGCAGTGGACAAGTTATCTGGGTTTTCTTCCTTCAGTCTGAATGATATCGGAAATCTAAATGAAATGTAAGCTTAGTCAGGGCCAATATAATCCTCTTTAATAACTGTGACCTAACTCTTTTTTTTTTTCCTGTCTTCTTACATGGGAACTTAATTATACTCTTCCTCTTGTTCCACACTCACAAGCTGAGATGGGAAAGGAGAGGTGGAGAAATGAGCTGGTAAGCACAGATTTATCTTTTCAAAGGACCTCACTCCAGGCTGTCTCCGACATTTAGGAAAGAAACCAAAGCCATCCACAGGCGTTGATAGTTGACAGATATTCATCGATCTGCATGCAGAATGGGACTGCTCCTCTTTCAACTGAGGAGGAAAAAATTGGGTGAGCAATGAATTTGGGTCAGTATGAATGAGATCAACAAATCATGTACTGCCAGTAAACACAAGCACCAGCCTGTTTGAGACAAAGAGCTTTAAGCCACAAGCATCAATATGAGGCAGCAAATTGCCCGGCACTAAGAACGAATATAATCAGTTTTATTCTTCTAACAGCCCGCTATAATGCCTTGTAAGCTATTATTGCCCAAGCTGTCTCCCTCTCTGGTTTGGGCAGCTACCTCCTTGAAAACTCATTTATAATCTTGTCAGGTGTGCTTGTACGAGCACCTGTCAGAAAGAAAGTTGCAATGACCTTACCATCTGCATTGTAATTAATTTAAATATGGTAAGAAATGCTTAGTTACTGTAAATGAGGAAATACATGCCAAACATTGCCACTAGCGCATGATATTTATTTATTTTTTTATTTATGGATTACAAAGAACAGCTTGTTTTGTCTGCCATGTCTTCTGTGAGGAGCGCTTGACATGGGTTAGGAACAGTGCCACTTTACTGTCCTAAATTCTGCACTCTTTTTTTGGTCTGTTTCAGAGGGTCCCATTGCAATTGTATGCGTGAAACAGTTTTTTCTCCCCATTACATTGGCATCGGTGCAAATGAAGAAATTGAAGGCAGCACACTGCTGCATTCAAACCAAGTGAAGAAATACAGATTCCGATCCACAATACAAATCTCTGATCCTTTTTTCTTTTTCATTTTGTCATATGCTTTTTGCTCCGAGACAGAAAATTAGAATTGCAAAGGAATAGTGTCTCAGTGCCATTTCCTGACAAGAATCACGTCACCTGCACACCTTTTAAAGCGTGTGAATAATGTAACCTGGACACCCTGCAAATGCTTTATCTGCTCCTACATGAAAAAGACATTGTATTAATATCGTTTGGTAATGGGCTACTTCAAGAACAAGAGACAAAAAGAAAACACAACAGCCTGCTGTCTTCTCCTTTTCAGAGAGCAGAAAATCAAGATGCAATTTATGAAGCAAAGAGAGAAGGGTCGCAAGCCTTCAGGAAGCAATTGTAAGTAAGGCAGCACGTCAACGTGAAGCTGCAGAAGACCTTTCAGAAAAGCATAGGAAATCTAAAGGCAGGCAGACTAAGAGCACTGTGGACAGCCTTAGAAAAAGAGGCGATGAAGAAACTTCATCTGCACGTTCATGCTTATCTGATTTCTGTCAGAACAGTGCTTCTAACCCCCAAAAATAGGTCTTGTGGTGACTGTGTGGAAGGTGTGCAGCACAGCACCATCCCTCTCTGTGTGTGTGCAAGAAACTCAAGTTTCCTCTCACCTAGATTATCTTCACTGTTGTTAAACAGCCTTGTCCTCCACCAAGCCTCTTTAGGCCTTCAGTAATTACCTGTGTCTAAAATTAAACAACATGCACCTTTCTCATTTAAGGGAGCTTAGTGTTCCAAGCTGATTTACTATTAACCTTTCTTATATAAAAAAAACACAACTGGGATTATTTATTATCTCTGCTATGCAAAGACGGTGTGACACGTCACATTCTCAGTTTTACATGACCCACCAAAGCAGAGGGTTTTCTGTGTTCTTCTGGCAAGTTAAGACCTTACATATATACACGAGCACCTTTAACACCATGCATGCTCAAGGAAATCGAGATCAGTTTCATCACCATGTTTGAAGTAATTTCTCAAGACACACTTGACATTAAAAAAAACAAACCACAAAGAACACAGGTATCTATTTGAAGCAAAAAGTTGTTCAATAAAACAAGCAAACAACTTTTCTTACACTCAAATTTACACAAAGGATACAGTCCAGCAAGAGTTTGGTAAGTGCGTGGTATGCTGACAAATCCTGCATTTTAGGTATTTGATTGTATGAAAAATCTACCTCCTGAGGAGAAAAGGAGACAGAAAGTAACTTTTTTTCTTCAGCACTTACAGCTGTCTTGTGAAACTAAATGGCTGTCACATTAGACTTGTGATCAAGGGTGTGGAAGTAAGAGGAACATTAATATTAATGTTGGAAAGTAAACACAAAGGTTCTTTTTTCTGACACAGAGAATTCAAATTTTGGGAATTTCCAAAATTGTGCTATCTTTCGAAAACATTACCATTAATGGTCCTGTGGTTATGTGTACATATTAAAAAATGATGGAGAAGACAGAAATATACAAAGGCTGTATTTCAAAATAACATCCTGCTCTTTATAAGCCAAAGTGGGCTACAAAAAAAAAAAAACAACAGCAAAGGGAAGAATAGCATAAAGCCACACTTTAAGTACGTGTTTCACGTTAGCAATTGGCACCAGTCAGTTTTTGAAAGGCAGGAACTGATCCCACTAAAAGTCTGACGAATTTGGCAAGCAAGGAAAAAACTCTGGCTAAGAGTAGCCCTGCCTAGAACAGTCAGCTGCACAGGGCATGCTGGGATTCAGAATGTGAAAGATAATAAAAGACTTAAATAAAAATAATAATAAATAACAAGAAAAAAATAATAAAAAAATATCTAAACATTTGGAAAAGCTACTAAATGTCAAAGAAAGAAACAATGATGAAAAAAAAAAAAGAAAGGTTACAACTTGGCTTTTCCACATATCAAAATACAACAACTAAGTTTGATTTAAAAAACATTTTGAATTTAAACCTATAGCATATTTTTATTTTATTTTTTTACAACGTACCTTGAGATTTTTTGGTGGCTTAAAATCAAAATATGTGGTCAAGTCATTGTTGGAAGCATTCAGTTGTAGTAAGTAAGGCATCTGACTGACACAAGAAAGATCTAAGAACAAAACAAATGCCAAATCCTTTACATGAATGCATGGGTAAATGCAGAGATCATCATGTCAAGATGCGATAATTATGGCAAAAAGCAATCAGAAATCAACTTGTGATTACACATTTAGAAAGCAGTGTTTGAAATGCAGAAGTGAGGTATATCATTACCCTGTACTAGAAGAAAGATGGTTACTAAAACATGAAGAATAAACACTCAAATCCTACATTAAATTTCCATTATGTGAACTTTGTGATATTTAGTTGTATACTCTAGTTCTTTTTAAAGTGACACGGATACTATCTGCATTCTAACTTATTAATTATAGGAGAAAAGTATTTGAGTCACTACTGAAGACTAAACAACTAGTTGTAAGGAAAAATCCCTGCTCAATTCAGACCTACCCCTCACAGACAAACTGTTAATAAAATGAGCACGGAGATGTGATGCCTTACAGAAGCGCTGCTATGACCAGACTCGCACACCTCAAGCAAAATGAACTTGAAAGGAATAACTTAACAGGCTGCCACCACAGCTCATTCCTTATCAAGTTAAATTAAAAAAATAATAATAATACAAAGAGTTGGGGGTACAAGGGAGAGGAAAGGAGTAGAAAAGGATGGATTTAACCGCAGTCTCCACTAGCTACTTTTCTAAACTCAGGGTACAATTTTGCCATTAATGGAAAACTTTTGGGAAGGAAAGCTCAAGGCTTGCAAAACTGTACCAGCCATAATTTTACATATTATGACACTTCCGTGTTCCCAACCTTAATCTTGTATTGACATGCTTGCTTGCATTTTAGTTTTGGATAATAAACTGGACAACAGTCTCCATGTTCCTACTGGTCAGCATATGCTGGTGCAGCTGTCTGAACAGTCCACGCATCATTCTCAAGAAGATCTAGCCATTGCCTCAGTCTGTAGAGCCAGAGTAGTTATCCCATTAAATCGTAGACCAGGCTTTGTGATATTAAGCCTGCATGGTACGCTGCGTTCCTCATCTTAACTGATTTCACAACCCAAGAGTTTACTACTGTATCTACTACATACCATTAATTTTATTATATGAAAGTTCCAACTTCTGTAGGTGAACGTATCTGGAGAGAATGTTAATGTCACTTAACTCACGACCCTGGAAAAATAATGCAAAGAGACTTTAATAACTTGCTGTAATACCTCACCCTGCTCTCCCAGATCTCCTGGGAGATGCACAATATAGAAACATTGAAGAGGTGCCACAAGGTCCCTCCAGCTGGATCTGTCAGAGCTGGATGACATATGCTGAAAGTTATGTTAGACCTGTAGACCAGCCATGAATGCAAATTATGTCAAAAGACTTGAAAACACAACCCTGAGCGATAGCTGGAGCCAGGGAAAATGCCAGAAAACCAGGGCTCCAGGAAAAGAGCCCTGCAGCAAGAAATATTTAAGAAGACAACGGTTTTAGCTTTCTGACCAGAAAACACCAAATGCAGCATTCTTAGATGTTTAGCATGTTCCTCTTTTTTTCCCCTAGCTGACTAAAGCAGGAATATACCCAAACCTAAAGATTTGGTATGGAAAAATCTTACTACTGCTATAAAGTGAAAAAAAACAGTAGTGATAGAGCAGCTGTCAGCAGGAGCCACCCTGTGTCTTGTCAAAAGTCCCACATACATGAGACAACATTAACAGGTAGAGATCAAAAATCTGATTTATTTATTTATTTTATTAGTATTATTTACCAGGATAACTATTTGTAGTTACAAGGAATAACTCTTTGAGCAGAAAAGCACTTCACAATGATGTTCTTTGCTTATACTTACTGAAAGGGACAAATTCAGATAAACGTATTCAGTACCAGAGGCCGAGCGCCCCAGCTTGTGGAGACCCTCAGCCACAGTGTCTTCATCCAGCTACTCCTTCCAACTGATCCTGTAACATACCAGGAAGGGAGAGAAATGGATTAGAGGAGATTTATGAAATAAAACTCCACTTTATAGAATCTAGGAGCTGCTTGGGATGCAACTGGGAACAGAGTTTAATGGAAGACCTCAGTCAAGTGCTGTTTTCAGTGCTCCATCACCTTGTTAAAGCACTATGCATTAGGAAGAATGATGAATAGAGCCCTCAAAACTGATAAATAGAAACACGTTATGTACTACCTCTAGACGCTGAAAAACGCTCAGTCAACCTTTTCAACGTTTTTCATTGGTATTTTTTTAACCTCCTGATTTACATGCACAGTGTTAAGCAGGACCTGCTTTCAGAGATGTTGAGCCATGAAACTCACGCTGATTATGGATGTTAACATCTTAGCAAATCAGCACCAGCACAACCCCAGCGTTGTACCCCAACACATACGTTATTGGAGGCCCTTTAAATTTGTTCAGCACGAGCAGCTAGCGCTTCAGCGAGCGGTCTTTGCCAAAGAGGCTACCTTGACAGATGGCACTAATGAACCACTGCGTCGATTTAATGAGAAAATAAGCCAATGGCTTGTGAAATTTCTAGGAGCCGGGAGAAGTCACAGTACAATTGCTAATCTAGGGACCAGGATAAATAATGTTTCAAATGGTAATCATCTAAATTATAATACCTCCATGTTATAGCAATGGAGACTACAGAGATAGTTCCACTAGATAAAAATATGAGGTGATAATGCTGTGGCAGCAGACACTTTAGAGCTCAGTAGAGAAGGTAAAACAAATTCACTTGGGGTTTATTGAACCTCAGGGCAGAGCATATACAAAGGCAAGGGGGTGAATTTGGTGGTGCATGTGTCAGTTTATCCGTAGTCTTTATAGGATAAGGAAAAGAATAAGGCAATCCAGAACTATTCTGGACATTGATGGGATTGAAGGGACCCTTAAAGAAAAGGCAAAAGTGATGAGAACACCAAACTCACTTTCTGGGGAGGTGAGAAATCGTTACCTTGTGCCCCCACCGCCTCCCCCTCTTCTCCCCAACTACACTGAGCGATGAGGGAGGGGAAGAACACCCCTCCCCCCGTGCGCACACCCTCCCCCAAATAGCTTCAGAGCGCCGAGCAGAACCTCTGCGGGCCGCGACTCCTCTTCCTCATCGTCCTCATCCTCCTCCCTGTGAGGGGAGCTGCGCTGCAGCAGGCCGGGCCCCTCGGGGACCCCCTTTGAGGGGTGGGAGGGCTCCTGAGAGGAAAGAGGCAGCTCCCCGGGGCCGTCCTCTCCCCGCTTCTCCTCGTCCCCCACCATGAGCTGAGAGAAGGACGGGGGAGGCGGAGGAGGCTCCGTGAGCAGCGCCTCGCCCCGCAGCCCGCCCCGTCAACCCCAAGCCCCGGCCGCCGCCATCTTGTTTGCTCGCCCGTTGCCAAGGAGACGGGAGAAGGGCCGTTCCCGCCTACAGGAGCCAGCCAATCAGAAAGCGGCTGGCGCCGCGGTGCACGCTGGGAGTTGTAGTCCCCTGCGCTTGCCGCGCCCTAGTAGCCAGGCTGCGGGGCATGATGGGAGTTGTAGTCCGCCTCACAGACACTCTCCTCAGCCCTCCTCACACAGCCCCAGTCCCTCTCTCTCCTTCGTTAAGGTGGCAGCTTGGCTCAATGTGTTATAACAAGAATAAATAATAGCGTGTCCAGCATGTTTAGATGTGGCCACTGTGTTTCTGACTCCAACTTCAAATAAAAAAGTTACTTGTTTTCTCATTTCATTCCTCCTCGGCTCCTAATCTGTCATCTACTGCGTGTTTTTATGCTGCAAAATGGGGTAAAATGATGAAGTAAACCCATAAAGAAAAGGAAGGGAGGAAGAGAAATCCATCAGGATGTCAGCAAATATAGGTCGCTGTGAGATAAACACGAGGAAAGCACAGCTCCTCATGGCAAAACAATTTAATGTTGGAGGCTGCGGATTCCTGCTGATTGCAGTGGGTCTCTGATGTGGGTCATGACAGCCAGCTGAGCCTTGAGAGCCTCGTAATTTTGTTTTTCGGTGTCACATCGTTGCCTTCTCCACCTGTGTTCATAAAAGGACACCCATCTTTGATTGCACCAGTTCTTGCTTTAAAAAGAAAAAAAAAAAAAAAGGAAAAAAAAGAGAGGACATAAAACTCCTTATGGACACCATCCACTGACTTTTATCTCCGTGCTTCAGGGAAACATTATGATAACTGCAATAAAGCTACCCCAAATTACCTTCCTTCATTATCTCACTGGCCATAAATGTTAAAACCCTTAATGAGATTTACTCCTTTTCCACTAAGCGCCTTGTGCCTCCTCCCAGAGCCCTCTGGGCATGGCAACTGCCCTGAAATGGCTCCTTTCCAGATGGGGCATGGCTAGGACTGTGCTCAGGGGAGGGCAGCAAAGGCATGGGGTGGAGAGACCATGAAAAGGGAAAATTCTGACAGGGAAGGATGGGTCCTAACCAGGAATATCCATTGTTTTAGGTGTCTTTTGGGTTTGTTGTGACCTAGAAGAACAATTTTGGAATCACTGGAGTTTCAAAGACGAGCAGGAGCTGCTTGAGTAGAGCAGCTGGAGATGTTTGACCACAGTGTAGGTGGTGAAACACTGAAACAGGCTTCCTGGAGGGGCAGTTGATGCCCCATGCCTGTCAGTGTTCAAGTGGCATTTGGGTGGTGCCCTCGTTAATATTATTTAATTTTTGGTTAGCCCTGAAGTGGTCAGGCAGTTGAAATTGATGATCTTTGAAGGTCCCTTCCAGCTGAACTATCCCATCCCATCCCATCCCATCCCATCCCATCCCATCCCATCCCATCCCATCCCATCCCATCCCAGGAGGACAGAACCCCATTTGGCAAGCCATTCTGCCCTGGCTGCCTGCTGCCATCCTGTCCAACAAGCACAGGAACACCATCAGGACCTGGTGCTTTAGGGACATGGTTATAGTGGGTGTCATTGGTAGTAGGGTGATGGTTGGACCAGAAGATCTTGGAGGGCTTTTCCAACCTTAATGACTTTATGATCAGCCAACACAGACAGCAAACGCTGAGCCTGTACAAACAGCTGCTCACTGCAAACCTGAAAAACACCACTTTGTACACGAAGCCTTATAATGCACAAACCTCTTCTGAATATCTTCCTGGGTGTAAAGCACTGCTGCAATGACACAGGACAGTCCTGCCATCTCTTTCAACTGTCATGAGGGTTTTCTTACCTGCCTGCAATGTTTTAAAAACAGAGGGCACTGGGTCACCCTTGAGGGAAGTGGGACACTTTTAACCCAGCTGAGTTACTCTAGATGACAACTTTGGCTGGCTGACATCCAGCAACCACACTACCCGCTGAGCCGGGTCACTACTGCAGCCAGAAACACCTACAGCAGCAGAAACACCCTGGTTCGTGGGGTGCAGGGGATGTGCGGCACAACCAAGACCACCACTGCAGCACAGTGGTAACATTTGGCTGTGGCTGGGCTTAAATCCCTCTGCATGCACGTGCATGCAATGCCTCACTCCAAAAACCTCTTTGTTCCCCCGACTCTGCACAGGCAGCTTAACATCAGACGAGAGGCGAGCAGACGGGAGGCGTGAAGGCAGCTGAGATGCTCGGATTAGTGTGCAGCAGGTCTGCAGGAAGATACTTGCCTGAGCTCCAAGCTCTCCGAGAGGCAAAGGCCACACGTAATCAAATTAATAGCTAGCTGGGCAGCTTGTCCGTGTAAGATGGGGCTGGAGATTTCATGGGAACAGATGATAAAAAAAAAAAAAAAGGGCAGGTCCAAGTACAGTTTACATGGGCTGCCATCGAGCTTGGAGCAGAGCCAGCAGGGCTAATGAGTTCTCTGCGTGGAAGTCTCCCAGAGTTTATTTCCTACCATCTGGAAAATGCCTGCCCTTCCACTGGGATTTGTGATGATTCAGGCAGGAGAAGGGATTATTAAAACCTCCGAAACACACTTGTCCTCCCTCCTTGTCCCCTCCCTACCCCATCTGTTTGGCTTGGCAGTGCAGGAACCGGCTGCCTGCTCCTGTGCTCTGAGCTGAAATGGCTCCTTCAAGACCCCTCTCCAGTGGGGGACGGCTGATGGGAGCAAAATGAGCCTTATGTATTTGGGGCTGGAGACAGATTGTTCCTGAATGGGGCTGTGAAACAAAGAATCAGATCTGGGGGAAAAAAAAATGCCTAGGTGGTAATGGTAGTTTTGTCCTTTTCCCACAGAAATCACACAGAGCAAATGGCACCCTAACAACTTAGCACGGCCGTCCCAAATGGCCAAACACTGCCTGGGCTGATGTCCCACCAGGGGAATGAGGATGGAGGAGGCTAAAAAAAAGGGCAACGCTCATCATGGCCAGCCTGGCCTGCTGAAGAGCAGCTGCTTGAGGTGGCCACGGTACCAAAAGCACGTCTAAAGGAGACATTGCACTCAGCTTCCCAAGCTTGAAGCTCAGGGAGAGGATTGGAGTGGTTCAGCCAGCTGGGAGGTGACCCAGTTCTGCTAACAAAGGAGAACTCAGTTAATGTGCTGTTCCCAAAGGGGCTGACATGTGGCACAAAGGGTGTGAGATGTCCCCCACGCATCCAAGCTCATGTGGTTGCGTTTCAAGTGGTGTGGGGTGGTGGCATGAACCGTTCCCCAAATCCTCCTGGCTCTGGAACAGCAAACACTGAACTGAGCATGTGAAAAAATCAAAATAATCCAGAACTGAAGCTCTAAATCAGCAGTTATTATCCTAATAAAACTTTCCCGATATCGACAGGGAGAGCATTTCATACTCGGAAGCGTTACCGGCAAACGCTGCCCTTAAATACATTGATTTACAATTCAATTATAAAAACAATCAGCTCCCAACTTCGTGCCACGTACCAAGCAGATTTACGGGCAGCCCTGGCACTCCGGCAGCACTTCGCAAAGTCCTGGCTTTTATGGGGATGGGGGAGAGGTGTGTGCCTGATCCCCATCCCCTGGTCAGCTTAGCCCTGGGCTAAGCTAAGGCTGGGCTAATGAGATCTCCCCTGAGCCTCCTCCAGGCCAAACCCCCCCAGTTCCCTCAGCTGCTCCTCACAGGATTTGTGTCCCAGGCCCTTCTCCAGCTTTGTGGCCCTTCTCTGGACTCACTCGAGCACCTCCATGTCCTTGTAGTGAGGGGCCCAAAGCTGAACCCAGCACTCGAGGTGTGGCCGTGGCCTTAAAGCATCTTCGAGGTGGGTTCGGGGGGCCCTGGAGGAGCCCAGCTCTCTGTCTCTCCTTAGCTCCTCGCCTTGCTGACGCTCAGAGCCTGACTGGCAGGGATGTGCCACCATCCTGGGGACAGGACAGACACCACGGGGGACTTCAGGTGCCTGGCAGACTGCCTCTGAGTGCAGGGGAATGAAGACACCGGCAGCAAACACCGCTGGAGAAGCACTACAGGTAGCACAGGACAGCTGATGGCTCAGGCCCACAGTCACCACAGGCCTCTGGAAGCACCCAGCACCAGGGCTGTGATCCAGCCTGCTTCTTATTTCCCTTTTCTTTTCCACAAACCTGCTTTTGCCTCTTCAGTTTCTCAGAGCCACACCGATATCTGAACGTCCCCTGAACGCACAGAGGAGTGATTTGCCAAATATATTTCATGCTGCAACTCGCCGGAGGAAATTACAAACGCCGAAGTCCAAGGCCCGAACTGTCCAATTTTCTTCGCTGATTGCCACTGTGCCCGAGCCTAACAAAGTAAATAATGAACACCGATGCAATGAACTTCCCAATAAATCGCTCCTGATGAATTTCACGCGGATCATCCAAAAGCAAATGTAATGATTATATGCTGGCCGCCGCCACCTAATTCTGGATGCCTGGCTCGGTTGTTAGTTTCAATCAGCAAAGGAAGGAAAATAAAATAAAATAAAATAAAACGCCTCATTTCTGAGCACGCTCCCCATTTGAAGAGGAAAGGTAAGATGTGAACTGCAGGGCACAGGCAGCTCGGGCTCGGATTTATGGGGTGGCTTTGCCCAGCAGTGAGGGCAGGGCTGATCCTCCAGGGATTGTGGCCTGGGGAGCATCAGGTTGAGTTCCCTGCAGCTTGGTTTCCTTTCGAGTTTATCATCCGTCACGCTTGCTGGTCATTTGTGTGACGTCTCCATATCTCAGCTGGGTGAAATGACCAGCTCCCTGTCCCCACCTCAAAAAACCTTCCCCGAGAGCAATTGGGCTGGCGTTACTGCACCACTAATTTCCTCTTGGCCGCTCTCCCCCGCTCCCTGTCTGAGAGCCCTCCCCTTTATTGCCACGTGCCACATCGAAAAAGAAATTTGCAATTATGACTCGCGCTCATAAAATAAAACACGGCCAATAAAAGGCAGAAAGAGAGCCTCGGTGGAACAACTCCTCAAATCCTCCCAAACCTTTCCAGCCGCTGTTTTCCCTCAGTGGCCGCGCTCACCACATCTATGGCAGCTTATGGGGTCGAGGGGACCCACACCACGGTATCTCTAGGGGCTTATTTATGTACAGGTAGGTATATAAATGTGTGCACACATCTAGTTGTATGCGTATTTGTCGATCAGACAGCTTTACACCGTCCTTAATTAAGAAGCTGTCAAGGGGGAGGAGGCACTTGGGAGAGGACGAGCTGGTGACTGATACACAAGGCAGGAGCAGGAGGCATTTACTTTACCTTCCACTTCTGCGTCTGGCACAGGCTTCAAAACAGTGCGATAATTAAAACCCAGTAAAGATTACGAGGCTGTAAAGAGGAAATTGTGAAACCCTCATGAACGTTTAAGGCTCCCATGGAAATATTTCATTTTGCGGTCTGGAGGAGTATTTCCTTGTCTCTTTAAGCACCAAAGGGCCACATCCATATCACAATTACTTTCTGAGTGCTGGCAGCATTTCACGTTGCATTACAAAACAAAATGGCCTTGGCCATAAAGCAGTGCGTGTCTTGCAGGGTCACATCAGGACTGCAAAACCACGGTAGGGAAGAACTGGAGGAGAGAAAAGAACCAGCGCTGACATCCATGGTCCTGCAACAAAGTCCCAGACAGAGGAGGGAGAAGGGTAAGTCACGCAGCACAGGACCACGAGCACACACATCAGCGGGGCCAGGTGACCTGGACCATACCCACGAGGGTGGCTGTTATATGGAGATGCTGAGTACAGGGTTATCGAGACGCCCGATGAGACAAGATGTTCTCAAAGGGCTTTCCAAACACCTCCTGAGAAGCTCCTGGTGCGTGAGTACCACCCGTGGGGCTCCAGATGGGTCCGAGTATGTGCGTGTGGACTATGTGAGAGGATAAGCCAGCCTGTTGTCTGAAGAGCTATTTGCTATTAAATAAAACAGCTTGAAACTACCCACGTTATCAGCTTAATCAACAAAAGATGTTCCCAAGAGATCTCTTCCCCCCCACCCCCCCCCACGCTCCTGATACCCCATTAGCGAGGGAGGATTGCAACCAACGCCAACACACAAAGCAGACCTCTTGCAATAGGGACTCACTTGTTCCAGGTGCATTCAGAAGTTACCTTTCAGGGAAAAAATATTCAGTAAGGATTTGCAAAGGCTGGTGAGGATTCCTTCTGGCAGTATCTTCTCGTGGTGCAGCAAGAAAGCTTGTGCAGAGTGTGCCAACGGGTGGCTGAAATAAGGTGCCTGAGCTTTGGCTTCTGACAAGCCGCACGCTGCTCATGTGTTTCTCTGCGTCCTCAGGCACTCCCTTTTTACCCTCAGTGTGAGATGAGATACAGACTGAATAATATGAACTTCTGTTGTAAAGATTTGGAGAGGACTGAGTCTGAACACTCAAGGAGCTGCTGGCTAATTATATGCTGTGATTACCTCAATTGCAAATCCTTTTCATCTCTCTACACCAGTATCTAGGTAAGTCCTTGCCTCTCCTCTCTCCAGTCATGCCACGGTGTTCTTGAACCACGCAGGCCAGCAAATTCCTTCTTGCACCTTCTCACGTGCATGGACATGACCTAGGGCTCTGTATTTACAGCCTGTGCTGGTGCGATGGACAATGCGATGTGCAGTTCAAAGAGGCTTCTTTTAAATAATTTACTTTGGAAGAAAACAGACTCCCAGGTTTGAATTTTTCTGTTTTCATGCAAATTGTCATGGCACCCGCCAGCACAGCTGCTCGGTGGGTGGAAAATGTGGACTGCAAAGCTTGAGATCAGCCATGTAAAGATGAGGCAGAGCCTCAGATTATTAACAATTAAGGACAAAAGGCATCCAAAAAAGTTTGACTCTAGCCCACAGCAGCCCAGTCTGGATTCAGAGCTCCTCACACATCCCCTCTGTACCTCAAAGGGTCTGAAATCTTTTTTATAAGTACCAAGCAGCCTCTTTTCCATCCTCCCATGTCTGGGTGCAGAACAGGCTGCCTTCTTGGATGCCAAGGCCAGGGAATACATTCCTCATGTGTTACCCCATGGAATCCCCAAATCATCACACATGGCCGTGATGGTGCTCTCCACTGTCACTCGTGCAAATTCCTCAAGGAAAGGAAGGAACTCTTGGAGTTAATGGTTGATACTGGCATAGAAGAAACAGGTTCATGAATAAAACGAGACTAGAAGTCAGAAAAAAATATATTAACAACTAGAATTAATGTGTTCTGCTTTTAACGTGGAGGTTGAGAAGCTTCTTGTCCAGTTGGCTCGTGGTAGCTGGGGATTAGGCTGAGTGATTCAGAAGACCAGTTCAACAATGCTGCAACCTCAAAGGACACCATATGACTTTGGACCCAGAAAAGAGTCTTTCAAATATCACAAAAGTAATATCTTAAAGGAATAAAGCACCAAAGCCTTTGAGGAGTCTTTAAATATCCTTTAATTCAGAAGTTTCAAGACTGATGCAGAAGCAGTTAAACAGCTGAGAGAGAACCTATTTCAGGACATGAAGCCCAGCTGGGCTGACTATTTACCTGCCAAATACAAGTGCAGAGCGTTCGTGGTTTGGAGGGTTGGCACAACCTCATCAGCCTCAGTGAATCGAGAGCCTTTTACCAGGTGGCAAGGCAGAACTGGGGACCTGAGCTTGCCTCACACTGCAGAGCTGGGATCTACCCTCCTCCTGCCCTTGCTGACCATTAGCACTGAGCTAATGTCCTTCCAGTGCATCAAATGGTGACTACAAAATATCTTCTGAGCTAAGCATGCTCAAAAGATACATTCAGAAAAAAGAGAATTAAATTCTGCTGTTGCCTTCTATTGGCAATTTGCTCCCACATCCACCACCATCCAGTGCAGTATGAGCTGCAGGAACTGATGCCATCTGGCTCCGTGATAATCAAAAAGCAGAAGTGGAAACAAATGGTCCCACGTCACCTCCCACTGCAAGAACTGGCTTATTACTACCCGGAGGAATAAGCAACTAGATCTCTTTGCAGTGGGAAGAGCAGAAAACTAAACGCATCTACGACTGTCACTTAGTACTGGCAGAGCTGAAATAGGCTTCCCTGTGTGGCTACAGTGGTGGAACAGCTTCAAAGTCATCAAGATCCCACGTTATCAACAGGTCTGCTCCTTGATTCTCACAGTGCTGTTTATTTAGTGTGGTCTGAACTTGCACCAAAGACTCTGGCCTAACCCAGTGAAATCTCTTTCCCCATTCCCCCGGAGAGAGCAGCTTGCCTTGCGTCCCAAGGCAAAGCAGCAGCGACAGAGCAAAGCCCAGCATCCCACCCACATCTCCGCCAAAAAGCCTCTTCCTCCTGCAGTGCCATCACTCCCGGGAGAAGGCGTTAAGGAAGCACTACGTGATTACACATCGAAACCCCCCAAAGAACCCCAAAACCAAATTTCAAACGGCATTTCCCTTCTCGCTATCAGGCCGCCACCCAGAAGATTCACGCTTTTGCCACCGATTTTAACAGAAACGCAGAAATTTGGCCCTGCAACCTGACAGCCCCCGCTGCTCACTAAAGGCGAGCGACCAAGCAGGTTAAACAGTGGTAATTTTCTTGTCCTTGGTAGCCTGTTTGATAGCAGCTTGCTCACAGATGATCTCCTTCAGCCTCTGCAGCCTCATATTCTGCGTGGTTTGGTCTCCCACACCCGTCTGGCTCCGGTGCAGTAAGTTCAGGGCGTAGATGTACTCCAGCTCTGTGTACTTCACGCCTTGATCCACCACCAGGTTCAAGAGCTCGTCTGCTGTGTTGTAGAGCATCTCGTAATACTGCCTGGAAAGCAAGCAAACAAAAAAACCACCCCGGTGAGTACTGAGGCTCGATGTTCACAAAAACCATCTGTAGGATGGTAGAATCCTCTAGGGTATTTCTGTGGCACACCATCAGCTCTTACTTTTTATTCGGTGGTGCCATGAGCAGAGAAGGCATCGCCAGGTGTACAAAGGAAGCCCAAAGATGATGCTGTTGAACACCAGGAGAGGCCAAGCGTGCACGTACATGCACGGGGGAGCCCATCTCCCACTCTCCCCGCTTCCCACATCCTTCCATCTAAAGCACAAAGTATGGGAAGTGCACAGCAGATCCTAGGATAAGGTCAGGGATTAGGGGAAGCTTCTCCTCTACAGCCCCAATGCACTAAGCTCCAGCAAGTGGTGATGCTTGGCTGAGGTTCAGGTCTATTTGGGGTTTCAAATCCAAAAAAAAATGGCAAGTACCCCTGTTTCTAGAGGAGCTGGCTAACTGCATACTTTAATACTGGTGTTACAGACCCTTGTGAAGAAACAAGGGTCTGAAAAGCCCTAGGTAGAAGTAAAAAGATTCCTTTCTTGCACCACATGGCAGCAAGGACTGTTTCAACCAAATCCTGTCACTTCCAGCACCTCCACGACTGCCCTCTGCTTCTGCAGGAGGACAGGGCCAGGCTGCAGGCTAATCCTTAGATCTGGGTGGAATAAATTATTTAAAACCCAAGAGTAGGGGCTCCAGGAGAAGTGATCACCTCCTTCCCTTTCTCTGCTCTTTGACTGCATTAAAATAAAAAGGGTAAGAAACAAATAAAAACTAGCTTTTGGGGATGAATAAGAAACAGAAAAATAAATCAGGCTGTTAGCTCTGTGCAGCTGAGATGCAGGCTGTGAAACTCCTGGTGCTGAAGGAGGGCCAGGTCATCAGAAGGCATTTTTGCAGAAGGCATTTGGGTAATCCCGACAACCACAACCTCATCAGGTTTGGGTCACACCAAGTCACACTGCCTCAGCTACTGATTTCGGATCCCAAAACCCAGCAGCTCCAAGCATCAGTGGGGTGGTTGGTGACAGGGACACCAGTCTGGCTAACCCTGGCACTGCAATAACTTCCCTCCCAGCCAGAAAACACAGCTCATTCCTCAGCTAAAGCAGCTCCTGTTACAGGCAGGGACAGGCAAAACCCCGTGGGTCAGTGGTCTAAGGATGGGTCTGCTGCGTTTTCACTTCAGTTCCTCCCTTGGGTCGTAGTCCCATAACCTTTACGCTTGAATTCAGCACAGTAAACGAGTTGTATTTGGGATGTTGAAGGAACTAAGAGCCCAAATTTGCCTCCTACTTGCAGCATCCTGGCACCCTGATCCATGCCCAGGAGCCGCCGTTAGCCTCAACATGCTAAAAAGATCAAGGTTTTTATAAAGCTGCTTCAATGCACGGGCAGAAATCGAATATAAGGTTATCTTGGAGGCTATTGGCAATATCTCAAGCACGGTTATACACAACATAGAGAAAAACCAGCTGCCAGAGTAAACACTGCGACTTAGGGAACATCGATCACCTTGAGAGAATTGATGCTGAGCAGATGTGAAACGAGATTTTACTGTTACCAGCTCTGGCTGGATTTTCAAAATATGACAGGGTTTATCTTGGCCGGGGCATATCTCCCTCTGAGAGGTGGCAAGGCTCTGCTCGAAGGCCAGGACTCGGCCTTCCGAGGTGAGAAACCACCTCAAAAGAAGGAGCAAGAGCACATCCCTCCTGCTACCACCTAACCCCAAGCATATCCTCAGAGGTGCATGAGCTGCTGTACCCGAAATGTTCCTAATTATTTCCCCACGAGGCAAATATTAACCTCAGAAGACGTCAAACAACACCACAATTACACAGGGAGGAAATCTGAGGTTGGGGCTGTGCTACCAGTTTTGCCTCTGATGTGCTGAAGCTTCCAGTTCCTACAAGGGAAGCGTCCTTCAGAAAGCCTCCCAGAACATTTCCACCCCTGCATGGACTCAGTATTTTGGTTTTCCCTCGAGTGGGGAACCAAAAGGAAGAAGAAACGACCTGCCCACAGCCCCTCTGGTCATCTCTCCATCTGACCCCGCGTCTCTACTGCTAAATAACACCTGGGTGCACCACGGCCCTGGTTCTTCAGGCTCTGGGATGGCCAAGTGTAGGACTGGTCAAGACATCAGTGGGCATCTGGGTGCCCAACACCACTTCACATCCTTCTCCTGGGGTGTTAAAGCCAAACATCAGCCAACCTCAAGCAGTGCAGGTCTGTCATCCCACCCCGTCCTTATGGCTGCCTTTCTGCTAGCCTGTCCCAAATCCTGGCTCACTGCATTATCCTGCACCTCAGAAACGCAGGATTCATCTGTCACTCGGTTCAGGATCAGATTATTTTTTAATTAAAAATTTCCTGCAAAATAATACAAAAAAAAAAAAAAAAGACGAGCGAGCGAGACGGGACGAGCGAGCAAAAGGTATGCATTTTTAATTGGGTGCAATTAAAAACCTGCCGCTTTGGCATGGCATCGCCTTCGGCCAAACCCTATTTGCATGAGTAATTATTCACTCCATTACGGAGTCTGCTCAACTTTGCCTCCCTTGTCTTTGAAAGTATTAATAAATATTGATCAGACACACTCCTGTTTGCCTTTGCCCAAGCAGCTCTGATGGACTCATCTTCTGATGTTATCAAATAATGAAATATGAAAGAGTGAGTGGGATGAGCCTCTTGTTCTGTGATTTTTTATTTAGGCTCTTCATTTTACTTTCAGAAGTGTATTTGTCCCTGGCATTATAAATGCTCTTTTGATTATCGAGAGGAGGTTGTGAAAAGCAAGTTAGTAAGGGACGGGGGAAATAAATGGACAGGTGAGGGAGATGTCTGTGCACTGAAATGCTGGCAGATTGCTTTGGGTTCTAAAGTTGAGATTTAAAACCAGGGAGAAGAATTAATATTTATCAAAAGTTGATTTTACCACCTGACAAATGGCTTAATAAATAATAATAGCAGATTAGCAGAGCTAATCTAAAAAAAATATTAGCTTTCCAAGCCTTCGGTTGGCTTCCATGTGAGCACAGCTCAGCACATGTAGGCTGATTTATCCTAACCAGATCACCTGGGCAGTGAGATCCACTCAGCCTCAACACAGGCTTTGGTTCTTTAGGTGGGTAAATACCTGGCCAAACCCTCCCTATAACCTCCCTTGGGGTTGATGGCCGTGTTTTGAGCAGGTGAGGAGTAAAGGACAGTCTACGGTGTCCAAAAATGAAGAGGAAATGATGCCTCCACCAGGAAAATCCTCACTAACTTGCTCATACAGGATGATAAACCAGTTTTGACTGCCTGCATGACAAAGATTTATTTTAATTAATTAATTTACTTTTTAAATCCATCCTTTCAATGCTCCTCCCTGTCCCTATCTCACGTCCCAGCAGCCCACCAGCCTAGCCACCAACCTGCTCATCTGTCTGACAGCAACGAGATCGGGTCCAAAGTTTCTGAACCACCCTTTGAATTCTCTTGGTGCTTTTTTGAAACACTCAGCTAAGAGCAAATGATGCCTAATCCAAAGCCCAAACACAACTGTCCTCTTTGTGCTGACTACAGCAGGCTCAGAAGATCTACCACCACAGCGAACAACATCTTCCTACTAACAGCAAATAAATGAGGCAAATAAACGAGGCCAAACATCACAGGTGGAAATGGTTCCCAGGCAAAGGAAAAAACCACCCATGGGCATATCAAAACTGTTGAAGCCAATTAACACCACCTTTTTTATTTTTTACACCTGTTATAAAACAAAACATTGTTGCCAAAAATGAATCCATTTTCCAAGGATGCGTTTTTCAGTATGTAGGTATCAAAAAAGATGGTTTCTTGAGCGCTATTGTTGGAGAAAGAGAAGAAAAATAAAGAAGCTCTCTCATTTAGAAAAAAAATCTCTGAAAAGGCAATCAGGACGAGACCAGCTCCTCTGAGGGCTATTAATACCATTCTCCATTTAAATGCTAATGTTAACCTATAACCCAAGGCCTGCACACAGAAAAGTTTTTCAAAAGATGGCCAGGTGAATTCAAAATTAAATTCTGATTTCCCTGCGAATGACTTGATCTCGTCTTAAGAGAGGGACCTTCAGATGAACAGTGTGATGTTTCAGAATAAAGAGTCTGACTTTAATTATTCATTCATTATATAGCTGGGTGCCCATTCTGTAATGATGCAGACAGAAAGAGATTCACGAGGTGAGAACTTAGATCTGGGTGCCGATTTACCCAAAAAGAATTAAAAAAAAAAGTATTCTGTACTTTCTTTACCTCCCACACTTTTGGGGGATTAGGGAGTCACTTCTACAATGTTCTAATAAGAACTTCAATAAGAAAGTAAAAAAGGTTAAGTATGAAGCACTTACAGACTAAATCTAGGCAAAAAAAATGCAAGAGAGAACAATGAACGTGCACTTGAAGAGGAAAAAAGGCCAAAGCTGCAGTTATAAAGTCACTGAATTTTGGTACAGGCAGAGCTTGGTGGAACATTATTGTTTAATAGAGAAGAAATCGATTTCCAGCACTTATTGAATGAGAAGAGATGCCCACAGGGCTCTTCTGTCTGTGGAGCACGAGATGTCAAGGTGGGAACGGGAAAGAGCTGAGGATGGAGCTGAGGGTTACTTGTTCCCGGAGATGGGACGGGAGTGAGAACCAGTAGCATGCGGGATTTTGCAAAGCAAGTTCCCCAAACTTGAAATTCCAAGCAAAGGGAAATCCCCCTAACCCAGCAATTATTGTAATTCCTCCACCTCGTGAAGACTGCAGTGATATTTGCACACACGCATCAGTGATCAGCATTTTAAAGCAGGAGTCTCCAAGCATGGCTGCTGGCTCTTTTTCCATCTCAGGAGCTTAAGATACCAAAACAGAAACTGCTGATGGAAATACCTGCTACATCATACAGCCACTCTAACCACTGCCTGCCTTAAACCATGTCCTTCGAGTCCTGTACGCAGTCACAGCCCTAAAACA